GGCTTGTTTTACAACGTCGTTGCCAAGCGACGAAAACCCAACCCCGATGGCAAACACCGGGGGGGATGACGGGGGGGGAAACAAATTCAAAAATAGACGTGTGGTGAAAGGAGACAAATATTTCGAAACGATCTCACGTCCGCCCGCAGCGACCTGGGTGCAGAACTATTTTGTCGTCACCAGTTCTACGTTAGTTCACATAACGTCGTTTTATGTATGTTCGGTCCAACCTTCCGACGTGTGCAAGCTGTGCTGCTGCTGCGCAGCGCTTGTTTGCCTGTGCATCACGAAGGGTGAGAGCCAGGGAGGAGGTGTCATGATGCAATATGAGCAGCCAAGACCCGAGCAGGAGAATAAGACAGCCGCAGCAGCACAGCGGCACAAACGTGGGAGTCGATGACAGCAGTAGAAAAGAGAACACCAACAAACAGGCGGCGGGTGTTGTTCTGAGTTGAAGAGGACCGACCGACAACAGACAGCTAACCTCGAACCATCAATCAGCCGCGCTTCGAGCCACAACGGCGTCCCTCCTCTTAGATTGCTACAGTACTTGAATGGCCTACACGCTTTACTACGACGCGGTTCAGACCTTTCTCGCGGACGGGCGTGTTTGTTGTGTTCCTCCAGCGTGCGCAACCACGAGTACAGACGTATGCGTTTTCAAACCTGCTGAAATGCGGAAACGGGTTCTTCGCTGTTCTACCCGCTACTTAGTGCTGTGTGTGCTAAAAAGAAAGAAAATAATGTTACAGCTGCTTCAAAGAACATGAAAAACTCTCCAAGTCGAACAGCCGCCTAGAACCAGAACGAAAAAGAACACCCGAACAGCCTCCACTGCCAACGATCAGCCAACACAAATGTATAACTGTACATATTTATGAGAATCGTTGTCTGCTGTCGTTGGCATCACCATTGTTTTTTTTCGTCACTTTCAGCGCTTACAGCACTTCTTCTGCCATATAACAGCGGTAGGAGAGCTCCCGGAGTGGGATCGAGATGAAAACAAAGAGGGTCGGGAACAAAATATGACTCCATGGATGGATGTGGAACAATAAAAACTAATGAGACTGAAAATGCCACACACACACCGAACCCCTACGAACGATTTTACTTGCAGTCAGTCAGTAGTGTTCAATCAATCAATCAATCGTCGTTCGTGTGTTGTAAATTATAGAATACATAGTAACAACAACATCAGGTAGGTGGATATCCGTGAAATAGTATACTTCTGCACTCGACGAGCAAAATCAAATGATTCTTGTCTTGAAGAGATGGATTTGTTGGGTCATACTGATAAAAAGAAAAGAGAGGAAAATAAAGAGTTGGGGATCCTGGGTACGAGCTGGTGCGTACAGTTGAACTCGCTTTAAGGACGCTCGCGTTAAGGAAACTTCCCGCTTAAAGGAAACTTGTTTTGCTGAGCACCGGGGGCCCGGCAGAATATACAATAACAAGGCACCGCATTTTTCTATCGCGTACCCCCCTTTTGTCGGGTCCTGCGGGCCTGCGGGCCGCTCTTTGCATGAACCACGCACCACAGTGAGTGCAGAAGTAGCGACGCACAGACAGCAGAAGTAGCGAGCGGTCTGCTGCTGCAACTGCAACTGGGTGTGGGTATGGATAGATTCCTCCCATCTACCAGCGGTCCATCTGATGCCGCCAAAAAAAGAGTCGTGCATAACCTCGTCCCTCACCGAGGGCGAGGTTACCTCTCGCTTGGAGGACGTTCGATCCTACAGATAGCGCCCGCAGTTAAGAAACGTCAATATCGGTTCGAGTCTCACCAATCCCTTCTTCTGGGTCGAAGTACCGGCCCAAGTCGTCCATTTCGTAAATTGCATTTCTTCTTCCGTTGAACTGTCGCATCCTCCCGATTCTTTTATTCCTTAAGACTACAACAAATGCTTCGTATTTTCTTTTTCCTGTCTTTTGATCTCTGAGGACAATCCACATCATCAAGCCCTCAAGAGAGGTGGTGGAGAGTGCCATCAAACCCGTACAACAGCGGAGAGCATATGGTTGTCCGCGATGTGTGGCAGTACTACAGTACAGCACTCACTGTGATCAGCAGGGGCGCGCGGGGGGGTCTCTGCCCCCTACAAAAAAATGCACTTCTGTTCAGCTTGGGAGGGGGGTGGGAGCACCGCAGATTTCTGATGTCATGGGGGTATCGCACCATCACGTTTCTTGTTAGGGCGTTTCTTACGTTGTGGCCAAGATTGAGCTATGTTTCTTAGCCCTTTTTGCTTGTTTTTCGTACAAAGTTGAGCCTTTTCCTCAACAGAATTTTTCTTAACTGCGGGCGCTATCTGTATTTGTACGCGAAGGGAAGGGGTGGCGAGTACGGTGAGACGCAGTACCTTCTTTCGAAGACCGTTCATTCGTTTACTCATGAAACTCAACAGAGCCGTAGGAGCCAAGCCGCGGGGGGAGGTTCAGGGAACTCTTCGCGAAATGTGGAAGGAAAAGCCATCAGGGTAGCTTTTGGTCTCCGCCGGGACAGTGATATGTACTGGTGTTCCTCGGTGCGACGCTGAAATACGCTCGTTTTTTTTCGTTTCACGAGAATGAGATAAATATATGTCTACTTGGACTTTCCTTCTTCCGCTGCCAGCTATGCAGTACACAAGTTGGCCAAGTAAGGCTGGTGTACTGTAGTTGTTTTCAACACGTCCCCGACTGCTGTACATCTCTTTTTAAGTAATGTAAATATGTTCGACGTCAACAAACGGTTGCCATTCGTCTCGGCGACGCTGACTTTTCGTACCACCCCCTTCCTTAGCATAAGACGCGTAGTTTGAGGTATAGCATGCCTCTATTGGCCTCGGAGATGGTGAGTAAGTATTGTAAATATGTTTGACTTCAACAAACGGTTGCCAGTCGTCTCGGCGACGCTGACTTTTCGTACCACCCCCTTCCTTAGCATAAGACGTGTAGTTTGAGGTATAGCATGCCTCTATTGGCCTCGGAGATGGTGAGCTATCGTCCCGTGAATTCTAAGAACACCGCTTTAAGGACGCTTTTTCTTAGGAAAAACCATGTGCTTCCTTAAAGCGGGGCCGACTGTAGTCGAACCCGCAACGACATATGTGAATGTCACAGGCGGGGACCGCATCACGCTCCACCTCTGTCACGTTTAGGCGGATATATAATTATTAACCCTCTATAGCTACATGTACTGCTGTGTTTTTTTACACAATTTATCGTCACTGCTTGCTGCAAGAGTGACATAATAACACAACAAACACCACTCACTACTTCCATCCGTAGTCACGTACTCACTACTCCCCATCCGCGCGCCTGGCATAATTTTATGTAAAATTCACACTGCACAAACCTAACCGCGCAACCAAGGCGCAGCAGGCGAATTCGCAGATCATGTGCATACAGTACTTGCCGGTCGCCCCGGTGGTCTAGTGGGTACCCTCGCACCCTGCTAAGGGTCAGGGCATGGGTTCGAGTCCCAGCAGAGTGGGTTTTTCCACAGAACTATCCGGTAGGGTATCGGACGTGCCACAGAACTCGTCTGTAACATTCTGTAGGGTAAATACCCCCAAAAAAACCGCCGGTACACTTCTGTGGCTACCCTACAAAACATTCCCTTTCCTTTTTCTCACGAAATAAATCCTGGTCTACAAGGATGAAAGCGACGCGCTGCAAAGTTCGCTGTTAGTGAACCATAATCGACTTTGTAACTTGCGAGGGAATGGATTGCTGTACCCTTCTCGCGATGAAAATATCTCAGGCAAGAACCGCAGGAGGGGTTCCAACCCCCGCCCCTCCTGTGTGACCCCGGTTGGGTCGTCTAGCTAGTAGAAGTGGAGGATAGGGGCCAGAGGGCAGACGACAGAGTACAATGATGGGAGACAAAAAAAAAAGTACTTAGGCCACGTGTTACGCTGTCTCTTTTTGGGCTGTTCCTTTTCTCAAAAAGGGACAACTGACCAAAAACCACTTGTTACGTGGTCTTTTTTTGCGTTTTTGAACCTCCCGAAAAGGGACAGCGAAAAAAGATCACCCCATCCTGTCCCTTTTTGTGCAACTTCGTCCCTTTTTGAGAAAAGGGACAGCCCAAAAAGAGACAGCGTAACAAGTGGCCTTATTACCACCGCCGTAGTTTCATTTCATTTCTGAGTACCCCCTTGAAACCACATGTGAAGGGAACGACCGTTCATCCACACCCGTGTACGCCACGATGTACTCCAGCAGAAGGGTGGTCATTTCCACCACTGCTGTACGGTGTCGTGGTATACAACAACAGCACAACAGCTCAGAAGTGTCCCCCTACACCCTCCTACCTCCTCGTTGCTGAGCACAGCGTTCCTTGCTGGATCTCCTCCTCGTTCGTCGTCGTCCGTAACATTTAGGTCCGAGAGCGACCACGTCGGTGGCGGCAGCGTGTATTGAGAGGCACCTACAGTAGCGTCACTCCCTTCCCGTCGTCCTCCCTCTTCACCCATATCTTGCTGTTGTTGGCGGTTGCCTCTGCTTCCGTTGCCGCCGGCCGTGCTTGCTGCTGCTGTTGTTCCAAGCTGCCGCCGGCTGGGTGTGCCAACAGCCAAACAGCACTCCTGTCGCACCGCCGAAGCTATCTCCGTCGCAACTAATCTCGCCCTCGCCTTGTATAGCATGCGCGGCGGACAGACTCGAGAGATCATGATCGGTACACTGGCAATAGCAAGCAATAGACAGCAGCGCAGGGAGCACCACGGCCAGATCTTCACTTCTTGTCTTGGTGGTCGAGGCAGGGGCCCGCCGAATGAAACAAATATGACAGTCCCGCCGCGTTGCTACCGCAGTGCACACACTGCCCGCTGCTGCTCTGCTGCTCTGTGAATACCTGAGCGGCCAGTACGACCGGGGAACACGAAAGGAGGCGATACGTTTGAACACGCAGAGGAGCGCCTTGGTGACAATCATGAGGAACGTCGGAGGCCTCCCACTAGTCCTTTGCACGTTGGTCTTCGGCTGCCGCATGACAGAGGATGCCGACGCCCTCGTCGGCGTTTCTTGTGGGAGCAACGCCAGAGCACGCTTACCACCGGCTCTGAGGATGGAAGCTAAGGGCTTCGGCCGGCCGAGCTCTACATCTGAGGGGAAGACTAAAGCTTCGCGTTCGAGCAAGGCGGCGGGTGAGAGCGCACGGAATGGTGTGTTTTTTGGTGCCCGATGGATGTGGTGCTTACTCCTTACGTATGCACGTAAAACCCGGGCCCTTTCACGCCCATCCTCGCCGCCTCTGTCACATGTACTCTGTACCTGCCATGTCACTACTGCTGTACGCTAAATCGAGTTCATACGCGTTTGTACTATCTTATACCATGCCTACCATGGTGATAATGTACAGACAGCACTCCAGACAGCAGTACGCTGTAGTCGACAAGCGTTCATTTTGGTGAGGTGTGGGACAGGGGAGGGGGTTGCTGTAGTCGAATGTGGTGTGTGGGCATGTCATGATGTTGTTAATTGGGCACGCAAACTTGATGCAGGGATTGTAGGTGTACCTCTTCGGGCTTGCGTACCCTTTCCTTGCTCGTAGGCGTGTTCTGAAGATCTTCTGACGACCTAGCATTTTTTGATCACGGACTCGAGATTTTGCTAAATTTTGGGGTTAGCAACTCACAAGATTATTCTGAAGACACCAAAAATTCGTAAGACTGGTTTGTTGTAGCGTACGCAGCTCCCCTACCCCTCACGTTAACCGTAGCTATTGTAACTGTCGAGGAAGGCTTCTGAGTTTGTTCATGGTTGGTGGCAGCAGAGAGCTCACGGCAAGAAGAGTGGAAAGCAATCTGATGCCGAAGAGTTGGAAGAAGGGCAGCAGCAGCATACCCGGGCAGCGGTACATGAAGTCGGCCACGCACGAGCGTTGACGGCAGCAGCGACCTGCCGGACGGGAGGAGTGTTGCCGGAGCGTTATGGTCCGTTTGAATTCGAACCTCCCCCCTCCCCCCCCCCCCCCCCCCCCCCCCCCCCC